TGCATCAGCCAGGCTGGTGGCTGGGGGCAGGTTTGTTTTTGCAATGAGCTCCCCTGTGACCGGTTTTTCCCTCGATGTCCCCATTTCATCACCCACCAGCTCTGCCCGAGCTCCGGTAACGCCTCACGATCCCATTGGGCGTTGTTCCCCTTCCTGCCACCCTGCCGGGACCTGCTCCAGGTCCTGCTGCGGTACGGTGCGAGCCTGAGCCGCTGCTCCTGTGGGGAGAGTGGGGACAGTTCCTGGAGCTCCTGCCTCGGCGTGGCCATGATGTGAGCCCACGGCGCTGCCTGACCTCCACACGTTGTGTCCAAGTGCTCCCGATCCCCGCCCCAAGCGTTCCTTCCCCCACCAGACCTCACGGCGAGGCCGGCCCGGAGCCTGACCCCCTCCCTTCTGTCTCCTCAGCTGATCGAAGCCATTCGCAGAGCAAGGAATGGGGAACCGCTGGAGAAAATCACCAACAGCCGCCCCCCCTGCGTCATCCTGTAGCCCCGCACCCAGCTGGGATCTCCCAGCACCCGGCAACCAGCTCCCGGCCCCCTCGGTGTCGCCCCGCTTTGCTCCTCACCGCCTTCGTTAGCTTCCTGCACGCCTGGGGACCAGGGACGTCGGGGGAATGCGTAAGGAGCCTCCCGGGGAACTGGGGGTGAGAGCTGGGATGGGCAGAGCTGTGGTACTGGTGTCACTGGGCTGACCGTGCTGGAGGGGCCGTTCTGGCCCGTCCCTTCGGGTCGCGTCCCCGCCGTGCCTGACCCACTGCGGGGCGTAGCTGCGGCGTGGGGTGGCTCCCCTGCCTGCCTTTGCCTTCCCCTTCCTCGCCTCCCCCCACACCCAGCAGTGCGGGGGGGGTCTCCCCTCCCTCAGCCCCTGGGGATTTGGGGGCCCCCCACAAACACTCTGCCCAGCCCTCGGGGGAGCCAGGCCGGGCGTTGGAGGGGATTTTGCAGCTCCAGACCTCCCCAACAGGTTAATGCAGAGGAAAAGCCACTCGCCGTAAACTTGAGCGTGATTCGTTAATGATTAAAGTTTCTCCTGTCACTGTTTAAACCAGTGCGAGGGCAGCGGGGACTGGCATGGGAACCCCGGCTCGGCTCCGTCCCCACGGCCAAGAGGTTTATTTAATGGCCACGAGCTTCCCCCACCTCCTCGTTCTCAGGCTCTTGGCTCTCGCTTTCCGCCCGTAATGACTCTGCCCTTCACCACGGGGCGGCTGAGCCGGCGGAGGGGCCCCCTATTTATTCTATACTGTGTATAAACCCAACGGCCCGGTGCTGAATAAAGGACAGAGGAGAACGCGGCCCCTCTCGTGTCCCTCAAGTACAGGGGTGGGACGCGGGCACCGAGGCGCGAAAGCGGGGTTAGATCAGGTCCTGTCTCCTGCCTGCCCTGCCCTTGGTCGGCGGCCAGGTGGGATCAAGACTTTTACCCTCCAGGTAAGTGGGTCCTGCCCTTCGCTGCCTCCTCGGGTGGTGGCAGCTGAGGCCAGGAGGGAAGGGACACAGGGCCTTGGGAGACGGAGCTGGCTCCTCTGCGCCAGCGACGGAGAAGGGGGAACCACGCAGACCCGGCCCTTCGCTGCCTCCGCGGGTGGTGGCAGCTGAGGCCAGGAGGGAAGGCCTTGGGAGACGGAGCTGGCTCCTCTGCGCCAGCGACGGAGAAGGGGGAACCACGCAGACAAGGGGAGTAGAAAAAAAAAAAACAATGTACAATTATCAAATATACATCTCGGCACGATACAGTCGGCTTCAAAAGAATCCAGGAGGAGCCCGGATGTGGGCCCAGCATCTGCCTGCTCTCAGTGCAAGTCCGTGTGTCCCGGCACGGCTGGGGTGCCGGTGGGGAGGGCGGCGGTGGCGGCAAGGTTCGCGGGATGAGCCGTACCGGGACAGCCCTGCAGAGGTGGGTGGTGGCAGAGGAGCCTTTGCGGTGACAGTAGCAGGTTGTCCTTCAGGCTGCTCCCAGTCACAGTCCGAGCATCGTCTGGTTCAGTGCAGCTAGTGGGTCACCTGCGCCGGTGCGCAGCTCTGGGGGGGCCCACAGCAACACCTGGCACGAAGGGTGACCCCTCTCTGTCCCCACGTGTGCTGCCGCACTGTCCCACAGCGTCCTGGGCTTTCCCAGCCCTCCATGGCCGACATCACCCTGCGGCATTAGCATGGACGCCACCAGGCAGAGGGGACAGCCACCGGCCCCATGTCCACGGCTCCCCGGGCCGTCCCCCCCCCAACCGCCTCGGCGCAGGCGGGGGGGGGGGGGGGGGGGGGGGCCGC